ATTCAGGTGGGATAGAATCAAGTTCATATTTTTACTCTTGTGGAACAACAATATCTAGTAACCACAATATCAGAAATATTGCTCATAGTAAAGTGATCTGGGGTAGGGGTGTGGTATTGTACAGCAATTAAAGAATTTTTTTTTCAAAGAGAAAAGCAAACTAGGAGGGGCAGAGAAGAAAATTTGCAACAATGAATGAATGTAAATCCAAGTTCTCTATAAACTTTCATTAAATTCTCAATAAAAACCAGAAGGATAAATAAAGAAGTATTGCTCAGCAGAAAAGAGAACAATGATAGTCCCATATTTAAACACATGCTCAGTGTGTCAGGCACTGTACTAGACACAATATGCATGTCAGTATATTTAAACCACACTTTAGTAATTTAGATGTGAGGTGACTAAAGGTTTCAAGAAATTAAAGAACTTGTTCAAAAGCATGTTATTATCAAGAACACTTCTCTCTCAGTGCCTTTGAGTTAGTTCTGAGAAACTCACAGTGTCATTTCATCAAGTTTCTGAGGCTGTAAGTCACAATGGGAGGATACTCTTTATCTTTCTCCCTTGAAACTGCTGATCCAATTCAAACTTCAAGAGATGTACATTCTTTTTTTTTCTGGTGTGCCCAAGTTTATCGAAAATACTACAGCACATCAGACAGACTCAAACGGTTCCACATGGTGTTTTGAAATTCATCCCGACGGTGGGCTGAGTGACCTGCAGGTTGGACAGACTGCCAAAGTCCAAGAGTTTCAGCATTTTGTTAGTATCAGGATCTACTTCAATGATCTCCTGATCCAGGGCTGAAACCTCTGGTACATAATTATCTCTCCTTTCTCTGTCCTCCTCCTGCAGCTTAATGGAGATGCCTCTCACAGGCCCTCTCTGAATTTGCTTTATCAGATGTGTGACATAGCCTGCTATCTTGTTCCGGAGTTTCTTGCTGGGAATAATGGCAATCTCCTAATGCATGCACTTGTTTGTGTGGAAGTCATTACCCAAGCATGTGTAGTATTTCTCAGTGATGACCCGGGCAACCTTCTTCACGGTTTTGGTGTGAACGTGGCCCTTGTTGGCGGGTCCTTGGTGAAAGAGGAAATAGGAAGCACAAGAGAGACCTATAAAGCACAGGCCAGCAAGATGCACGTACATTCTTTAGGTTAGCAGCACAACTTGCTATGGATTATACTACCTGAGTTCTCTATACACCCTTGTGCATAGTATGTCATCAAGTGAAACCAATTCATAGCTGATCCTCCAGTGGATGTTTTTAAGCACTTAGCAGATCTCCGTAATGTCAGAATCTCTTGGAAACTCTGTCTGCCCTAAAAGCAAACAAGTTATAAGAGAGAAACACACACACACACACACACACACAGAGTGAGAATAAATCTGAGAGTGAACAGGACATAGTAGAAGTCTGGACAGAGCATATCTTGCTTCTAACCCATTATTAAGTAACAAGAATGGTTATATTTGATCACAGTCATGAATTCTCTGACTCATATATTATCGTACTCATCGATAATCTTCATTATGCAGATGACATATCTTACTTACTGAAAGTGAGGAGGACTTGAAGCATTTGCTGCAGAAGATCAAAGACAACAGCCTTCCATAATGGTTTGCATCTCAACCTCAAGAAAGCAAAAATCCTAGCCACTGGACCAATAGGCAACATCAAGATAGATAGATAAAATTTGAAAGTCTCAATGACTTCATCTTACTTGAATCCACAGTAAACACACTTGGTACTAATAGGAGATTGGAAGACATGTTACACTGGGAAAGTTTGTAGTCAGGAATCTCTCCACATTAGTGAGGAGAAATGGTTATCAGTTGAAGGACTATGGTATGCCTAATTTAGGCCATGTTTTCTTCAGTCACTCGCTATGCTTCTGAAAGCTTGACAGTGGCTAAGGATGACAGAAGGAAAATTGATGAATTGTGGTGTTGGAGAAGAGTTTTGAATATCTCATGGACTGATAAACAAACAGATATGTTTAGGAGAAGGTACAACCAGAGTGCTCCTTGAAAGGCAAAGATGATATAGCTTCACCTCACATACTATGGGCGTGTTCCTAGGAGAGGTTGTTCCTTGGAGAGGAACATCATTTTTGGGAAGGTGGAGGGATGGTGAAGGTTGAGGGACACCTCAACCAGGTGGACTGACACAGTGACTGCAGCAATGGGTTTGGGGATATTGGAGATTGTAAGGATGGCACTTGAGGGGACAGGGTTCAGATCTGTTGTTCCTAAGGTTGCTCTGAGTTGTACTCAATTCAAAGGCATCTAACAATTACCACAACACAAAGTGATCTGTCATTTAATAAAATATTGTTCTCTTCCGAGTGTGGAAAAAAGGACTGTCATGCCCTATAAGGAGTTGCACTGCCAACTCATGACAGTTCAAATTGACCAGTTGCTCTGAGGGAGAAAGATGAGTAGTCTCCTCTCATGTGATTTACAGCCTCAGAAACCAGACAGAGGGTCAGCTATGAATTCTGACTCAAAAGTAATGAGATCATGGTGATGAGGATGAGGATGATGAATAGCAAGTAGACAGCATCTTCTAATACACTTTACTACAGCCATCTCACGAGAGGAGCCATTCCAAATGTGTAATAACTAGTAAGGTATGGCCATGACCAATCAGAAAGGACAAATTACCACAGTAATGGGATCCTAGAGGCCACATATTGTGCTACATTACCCCTTAGCTGTTTGGTTGCAGATACTTATGGGAGTACAGGAAAAGGAAACACAGTCACTATTATTATCAGCCAGTGAGAAAGTATTTCAGCAGCTAGAGGCAGACAATGACAAAGGATGACAGAAGAATTGATGACATTTGGTTGTGATGCTAGAGAACAGTGTTGAACATACCATCAGCTGTCAAGAGAACAAACAGGTCTGTCCTAAAAAAAGTTTAAAACCAGTTCGCTCCTTGTAGGCAAAGAATTTAAAACTCTATCTCAAGCTGTTTGAAGATTTGGGCATGTCACTAGGAAAGACCAGTCCTTGGGAAAGGACATCATACTTGGAGAGGTAGATGGTCAGCACAGGACAGGAAGAGCCTAGATGGGATGGATTAACACAGTGACTGTACCAATGGGATCAGGTGTGTCTGAGATGGTGAGCTGGGCTCAGGATAGGACAAGACTCATAGCCATTGTTCCCAAAATCAATATGAGTTGTAATCATAGTGCAAACAGTTAAGCACTCAGCCTGAATGAGACGGTTGTCGATTTGGATCTACCTAATAGTTACAAAGGAGAAAGGCCTGTCAATCTCCTTCCAAAAAGATGACAGTTTTGAAAACATGTTGGGGTCATTATGAGTTGAGAAGAACATGATAACACTCTTGAGTGGTCATTCTCTGCCTTTTAACTTAATGTTAGGCTGGACATCACTCATTATATGGTGATTATATAGTATAAACATGGCTAGAAAGTATTTCACATCTTATTTCAGTAATGTAACCAAAGGGAAGGATGTTCACATATACACACAGTTTTTATCAACTTTGACTCACAGAAATGACATGTCTTCCAAGTTCTCTACAGGGTCTCCAGTGGTTGTTATTGAGGAAGCAAATTGCTAATGGTACCTGTGGTGGACTTGAGCCTATAATTTTTGCCAAATAGTTGAGTGTATCCACTGTCTGTACCACTCAGAAACTCTTACCAATATAAGAAAGAAAGAGTGGGGATCAAGTGGCACTTAACCTGGTAAAGTGATGTCTATCCCCAGTGAGTGAGAGGTGGCAGTGGCCTTTACAGAGCTGTTTGTGCATAGGGAATTTCTACCATAAACATCCACTTTACACTGGTACATTCCTGCTTCTTCCTCTGTGGCATCATGGACGAGGAGTTGAGAATGGAACGGAGACTGTGAAATCTTTGTCTTCTTTTGAAATTGCAGTAGTGAATCGCCCCACTCAATGGCACCATCATGATTGATTCGAATAATCTGATGAAAGGTCTGAGACCCAGCTGGCTGGAACTGCCATGTCACGGTGAGCGGTACCTTCAAATCAGAGTAGTCAGCACGCACTATGCAGTTGAGGTCCAAGATACTGGTTAATTCCACTTTTGGTCGACGGGTCATCAGACTAACTTGTAAGCTTGATTCTGCAGGCAGAAATGCAAAGCACATTTTTTTTTAAATATAGTTACCAAAGCAAAGTACAGAACTTTCAAGTCTACTTGCTAGCTCTTCACAGTGAACCATGTAGTCACACATTTGGGTTATCACGTCTTTTCTGGCAGAAGTTGATTCACAGCACAGTTTGTCCTGAATTGTGACTTCAGTTTTCCAAAACTGACCCTCTCCTGAGACTGTTCTCAGCAGCAACAACAAATAGGCAGTGTTTCTGCTCAGACAGCTGCTGCTGAGTGGGTGGAGCACTCACAGCCTCACTAGTCTGGCCTCTTCCCCTTACCCTGACTCCTGGCTGCAGTAGCAGAATCTTTTGCACATGATAGATGAGATTCAGCAATCCAAAGGCTGGAAGTGTCAAAAGCCAGAATGGGAAAAACTTAGCCACCAAAACTATTCAGGACATCTCTTCTGCAAGTCAACTCCAATTCACAGGACTTTGTTTTCAGCCTTGAGTGCACAAGTTGTATTGTAAACATGATCTTTCTGAAGATCAATAAACTCTGGGGTTACTTGGCAGACATGGCAGCTAAGAGACTAGGATTCATGACCTGATGCACATATATACATCATTGGAGGATTAGGTGACACAGCAAATCACAGTCTTATTGCAAAATTAAGTGACCAGGACAAGGGCTGAGAAAAGGATTTCTTGGACACTTACGTAGAGATTTCACAACGATCAAAGTAGTTTGAGTCCAGCTCAAATTTTTAGCTTGATTCTGAGACATCTCAGACACAGAGCACTGGTAAGTCCCACTGTCACTGAGGGCAGCAGAAGTGATGTCCAGCTGGAAGGTAGCCCAATTCACCTTTTCTAGCCTTATGTTGCCTTGGTTACTGACATAGGAGGGACCCAGGTGCACAACGCCGTACTTCTCCATGCTAGCCACCAGCTTCGACTGTGCCCGGTCCTGTGAGGTGTGCGACCAGCTCACTGCCAGGGGACTTTCTTCTCCATCTGCCTTGCAGAGGAGGCCCAGTTCATCTCCTTCCCACAGCATCGACTGTTTGTTCTTGGTGGACAAGGTGACACTCCTGGTTATAGCTTACAGAGTTGAGAAGAGCAAAATGATTTTGAGCAAATTTAAAATGTTCTCAAATACAGTGAAATCTCATTAATTCTTGACTAGTTTATAACAAATCAGATTAAGCCTCTACATAACTCCCCTCCTGGGGAGAAGGGGGAGGAATTTACTCAATGTTTAAATAGTGAAAACGAGGCAGCCGAAAATAGTATCAAGAGAACCAATTTATACTTGTTTTATAATTTGTACTTATTTTTATCTATTTGTTAAATCAACCTTTAAGAACATCTACTTAAACATTTGGCAATATTTTGATAGAGTAATTAGGCTAGGAGTACAAATTTTATATTAACAAAGATGTATTTATTTAAGTTTTTCATTTCTTTAGAAACCTGATCTTCACAATTCAAAATGAACTACTTTTCTCTTTTTGCCTTTCTATAATCAATCCTAATTATTATGTATTTAGAACAGAGGATAATTTTTGTTCATTAGATCTCTCTCTCTCTCTCCTCTCTCTCCAGATATAGATAGGTAGATAAATACTGAGGTAAACAGATTGATCTTGTTATGTATTATTGAGTCGGAACTGACCAGTAGCTGATAATCCAGGGGGTTTTCAGAAGCAGTATATTCCACAGAAGGAGATTGCCCATTTTCTTTTATGAAGCAGCTGTTGGGTTCAAATTGCCTACCTCTAAGTTGGCAGCATAATCTCTTATCAATAAGTCATCAGTTGTTGTTGTTGTTAGGTACCATCGAGTATGACTTATAACAACCCTATGAACAAAATATCTGAACCCTGTTCCTATCATGTGTTACCCTCATACTTCCTGACACATAAGAGCCCATTGTGGTAGTCGCAATGTTAATCCACCTAGTCGAAGGTCTTTCTCTCCTTTGCTGATCCTTTACCCTTCCTAACATGTTTTTCTCCAAGGAATATCCCCTCCTATCAACATGCCGAAAAGTATCTGAGACAAAGCCTCATCATTCTTGCCTCCAAAGAACACTCTGCCCGCACCCTCTCCAAGACATATTTGTTTGTTCTTTTGGCCATCCATGTGATGTTCAGTGCTCATCTCCAACATTACAGCTTAAAAGCATTAATTCTTCTACTGTCATCCTTATTCACTGTCCAGCTTTCAGATGCACCTGAATCAGATGCACTTTAGTCCTCAAACTGACATCATTACTCCTCAATAACTTGGAGACATCCCTAACTTCAGATTTTCCAAATGCAATACATCTCCTTATTTCCTGACTGCTGATATTAAGGGTGTTAATTGTGCATCCAAGCAAGATGAAGTTGTTGGCAGTTTCAAGCTCTTCTCCATCCATCATGTTGTTGCCTATCAGTCCAGTGATAAGAATCTTTGTTTTTTTGACAATGAGATGCAATCCATACCGAACATTGCATTCCTTGATCTTCTGCAGCAAGTGTTTCTGATCCTCCTCACTTTCAGCAAGAGAGGTTGTGTCTTCTGCATAACACAGGTTATTGATGTGTTTCCTTCCAATCCTGATACCATATTCCTCTTCATAGAGTTCAGCTTCTCAAATAATTTGATCAGCTTACAGATTAAACAGGTATGGAGAAACAATACAACCCTGATACACTTCCTTCTTAATTTTAAACCATGCAGTGTTCCCCTGAACTGTTCGCACAACAGCCTCCTGGATCAAGTATAGGTTTTGCGTGAGCACAATTAAATGCTCTGGGACTCCCATTCTTCTCAATGTCAGCTACAGTTTGTTTTGATCCACACAGTCAAATGCCTTTGCATAGTCAATAAAGCACAAGTAGGCATTCTTCTGGTAAACCACTATGTATTTACTGTTGTTATGTGCTGTCAACTCATCTGTGACTCATAGTGACCCTATGTACAACAGCTCTGAAGCCTGCCCTGTCTTGAGCCAGTCTCATTGACTCTGACACAACTACCCTCATTGCCCTAGTTATTTTATAAATTCATCTCATCTGGGGTTCTCTCCTATGAGATATCTATCTATCTATCTATCTATCTATCTATCTATCTATCTATCTATCATCTTATCATCTATCTATCTATCATCTCTCTCTCTCTCTCTCTCTCTCTCTCTCTCTCCTGGACTACATTTATGTCCTATGAGATATATATATCCTGCACTACAGTAGTACAAATCTATATGCGGAAGCCTTGTTCCCAGAGAAATTTAAGATAAATGTGAACATCAAATTCAACAAATACTTACTGTGCAAAAACTTTTCTTGAGCAATGCAAAGATGAAACAGGAGCTCAGATATTCCAAACAGTGATGCATTGCTTGAAAAGCCAAGGCCTCCAGAAATAGACCTTGAACAATATATTTGACCTCTCTAAGCCACAATTTTTGTTCCTAGAATTATTTTTTCCCCCTGTAATAATGTGGATCTTAACAGAAGTCTTCTTACTACATTGTTTAGGAGTCCCAAGGGGTTGCCAGCTGAAAGATTAGAGGTTCATGTCCACCTAGAATGTCTCAGAAGAAAGGCCTGGAAATCTGCTTCCACTAAATTAGTCACTGAAAACCTATGAATCCAGTTCTACACATGGAGTTTCGATTAGGGGGAGTCCACTCTATGGTAACTGGCTTGGTCTTTAAATGTTGTTGACATGGCTAAACAAATGACATAAGTAAAGAGCCTTGACTGGCTGGCATATGGAAAAAACAATAAAGCTCGTACCATTAATATTAAATGGTAGGCAGTAGCAAAAACAGAGATAGGTAGCTCAATGTCAAAAAAGGCAAACCAAAAAGAACTGGCATTAGAAATCTAAATACAATCAAAATAAATTTGTTAAATGTCCTTCTCTGCTAGCAAAAATGACAGTTTTCATCTGTTTTATAATATATAAATTACAAAAGCAGAATGGAGTTTAATGCTCACCAATAGATGAAAAATATAGTCAAATCTACTTCCAATCATTCATATGGCAAAGGAATGACTATACCTTTTAAATTATAGTTAAAAATAGACTCATAACTGAAGTTCAGATAAAGGAGGAAAAATTATTACTTACAGCACATTAACATGAGCTTTTGTTTGTTTGTTTTAAATGAGATTTTCTTAGGTCATTGTGGTCATCACAGCTGCTTGGTAAGAAGCAACAAATTTACCAAGTGTGTGTCAATTACACATTCACCACAGGTAGGAAGTGCCACTTTCTCTTATTCATAGAATAACAGAATGATTAAACTCTTCTCACATTTAAGGGATGGTTTGACTTTCAAAACAGAATCCTAAATAGGATCCATAATAAATTTGCCAGCAACTTTCCTGACTTTACATATTGGAACTGGTTTGGACTCCAGCCTCCACAAAGACTTACACCTATTCCTCACTTATTTACTGGCTGATTCATTATCTGACACCTCACATTTATGACCAAACATAATGTTTATGTTAATGTGGTGAGAGAGTAAGTAATAATTTTTTCTCTAAGATCTAAACTTCAGTTATATGAGTCTATTTTACAGGGGGAAAAATCTACTACTTGACTATTTTATGCATTAATGGCATGCTTCTGCAGTGGCAAATGGAAAGGCCTGAAACAAGGATAATGTTGACAGTAATGGTTAAGGTGATGGGTTGACTTGGATGGACTGTGATTCTCAGAAGTTTAGCAATTATGTAACGGGTGTAATTTGACAGCTGCGTAAGGAAGCATTCATCCTCCTTATTGTGACCTGATGGGTTCATATTCCATTTTCATTTAATATTTATTTTACATATAACCTGGCCTTTGAAACCTAACCATGTCAATAAGGAGTGGATATATTTTGAGGTTTGGAAGACCCCTAAGGAGATGGATTGACAGTAACTTTAGCAGTGAGCTCTAGTGTATCAGAGATGACAAGGATGGCACAGGATAGGGCAGAGTTTAGGTTGGCTGTTCATAGGGTCACTATGAGTCATAGTCAACTCAATGGCACCTAACAACAACTGATACACACCTATGGCCTGTTCACCTTGAGAAACACTACTGGATATGTTTAGCAAAAATTCCTTAGTATTGTATTTAATAAAAAATTTCAGATACGTTACAGGGAGATTGAGACACAGGAAGCAGAGCTGTAGCTCTGTGTAAATATGTAGGCCCACTCACATTGTTTTTCCTAAATTCTAGAAAGTTGTACCAATCAAACGAAACAGCGTAAAATGTAGTACCACCATACTTCCTGGCCTACCACTTTTGGCCAATACTTTTGTGTCTTCATTCCTGGCAGTGAGGAATTTATCTTCAGAGATGTTTCCAGTAAGCAAGCATGGCAAAGACTTTTAAACATTCATATTTTTCTTCTTTTTTGGTGGGAGACATTTTTTTGGGGGGAAGGAAATGAAAACAACTCACAAAAGCAAAACAAACACATTTTCATTTCACACTCAGCTTAAAGAGGCTTGTCTCTACTCATGCAATTATTCAGATATACTTAGAATTCACCAACCTTAATCATCTAAAGCAGAATTAACAGTTTTCCCCAATTTAATGCTTATGGGAGCTCCAAACCAATTTGAACAGGGATCTAACCACATCTTGTCAAAAAAGCAGAGAATAGTGTCTATCAATTATAATTTACCTTGAATTTTCTTACTTTGGGTCGTATTTTGATGCGGAATTATGACTAAATAGCATTATCCATGAATGCTATACAAGGGAGGTCTGGTGGCCCTAGTGGTAAGAAGCTGCATTGCAATCTCGAAGGCATGCAGTTCAAATCCACCATCTGCTCCATGGAAGAAGGATGGGCAATTTCCTCCCATGTGATTAACTGCGTCTGAAAACTCACTGGAAGGTCAGCAGTGAGTCACTTCTGACTTGATGGTACTCAACCAACCAAACATATTAGGTTAAAAAAAGTCCAGTTAATAACAGATAACTTAAAATTTATAGTCTGGCTTGTAAGGGATAATGTATTTATTTCTCAGGTTAGTACAGAAACATAGCTTTTTTCTCTTAACTCTTCTCCATATACACACACAAAAAAGACAGAGGGTTTCATTAATGTAGTTGTTCACAGGTTTAAGAAAAACCCCAGTGTAAAAAAAAAAAAAGAAGAAAAGAAAACCCTCAGTGTATATAAATTAGAACAAACAACAAAGAAACACAAGGTTTCAAGACATCAAGAAAGGTCTTAAGGATCATTGAATTGTGTGCTCATCATATTACAGACAAGGAAACGGAGCTTGAGTGGGCAGAGTTGGTTAATGGTTTAGGATGGACTCGGGCCTCCAGATTGAGTTTGGTTACTTTTATTCCTTGTCACCTCAGATGTGATCTGATGGACACTCAGCAATTCTGGAAGACCTTTACTGTGACTAAGAAGGTGTCCTTTACTGACAGAGGAGGGGGTCAGAAAGCAACCTGATACCTGTGTGGTGAGGCTGCAACATACCTGCAGACTTCTTCAGGTGCACAAGCTTATTTGGTGATTCCTTCCTCCGCACTACCTGCCAGGAGCCTGTCTGAGTTCTCTCTACCTCTTCCACTGAACACCTGTAGGTGCCTTCATCCACTGGGCCCACGGAGATGATTTTGAGAGAGAAAGACAAGGGGTTTAACTTCAAAACCAACAGCTGTCCTTGATTAGCTCTTTCTTTGTAGTCTTCATTCAGGGTCAGTAACCCATTAGCACCAATACTGGCGATTACAATGTCATTGAGGAACCAACTACCCTGAAATTGGAGATTCTGGACACTGCTCACCACCAAGCAGACGAGTTCTAAGGGCTTCCCTTCAGCAAACATGCCTTCAGCTGTCAGGTTGACTTGAAAATCTGTCACTGGGAAACAAAAGCAAGGCAGACATTTAGAAAGGCCACTTCATCTGTCCTTTCAGTAACAAAGAGGTTAGCACAGTTCATGTGGGATGAAATTCCAGTATGACGTGGCAGATAGGAAAAAAGTAGCAGAGTCAAAATTACCCCTAGTTATTCTTGAAATTATCTGGAAGAGGCAGGATACGTTGTTTTGTTTTGTTTTTTTAAAAAAAAAATCCTGTTAAGCAATGTTACTGTTGTTGAGTACCATCAGTCAGGACCAACTCATAGTGGACCCTCCAGTGGGTTTTCAGAGCCAGTTTACTAGCATGGGAGGAGATTGTCCATCTTTCTCCTGTGGGGCAACTGGTGGCTTTGAACCACATTCCTTTGGGATTGCAGTGCAGGTTCTTGTCCCTACGCTACCAGACCTCTCTTCCTATATTAAGCAACACATATGTGTAGTTGTTGTTGTTGTTATGTGCCGTTGAGTCGCCTGCAACTCATAGCGACCCTGTGTACAACAGCCCTAAACTCCGTTCTGTCCTGTGCCAATCGCACTGTCTCTGACACTCCCTTCCCAATTATCCCAGTCACTGAATCAATCCACCTCATTGAGGGCCTTCCTCTCCTGCGCTGTCCCTCCACACTCCCAAGCATGATGTCCCTCTCTAAGGACCGGTCTCTCCTCACAACATGTCCAAAGTGTGTTAGACGGAGCCTCAGAATCCTTGCCTCCAAGGAGCCACCCGGTTTAACCCTCTCCAGGACAAATCTGTTTGTTTTCCTAGCAGTCCATGGTATTCTCAATACTCTTCTCCAGCACCACAGCTCAAAGGCATCAATTCTCCTTCTATCCCCCTTGGTCATTGTCCAACTCTCTGATGCATAACAGGTGATTGCAAAGACCATGGCCTGTATCAGACGCACCTTAGTCTCCAAAGAGACACCATTGCTCTTCAGCACTTTGGAGAGGTCCCTAACAGCAGACTTTCCCATGGCAATGCGCCTTTTAATTTCCTGGCTGCTGGTGCCAAGACTGTTGACTATGGAGCCAAGCAAACCAAAGCTATGTACAATCTCAATCTCTTCACCATCCATCCTGATGCTGCCAATTGGTCCAGTGGTGAGAATCTTTGTCTTCTTGACATTGAGCCTCAATCCAAATTGTATGCTGCACTCCTTGACACTCTACAGCAGGCGCTTAGGTCCTCTTCAGTTTCAGCAAGCAGAGTTGTCTCATCCGCATAACGCAGATTGTTGATAAATCGTCCACCAATCTTGACCCCACATTTCTCCTCATAGAGCCCAGCCTCCCGGATAATCTGTTCTGCATATAGGTTGAAAAGGTATGGAGATAGGATTAATCCCTGGAGTACACCCTTCCCAATTTTGAACCATGCAGTGTTCCCTTGCTCTGTTCTGATGACTGCCTCCTGGTCCAAGTATAAGTTTCGCATTAGAACGATCAAGTATTCTGGGATTCCCATTCTTCTCAGAGTCAGCCATAATTTGTTATGATCTACACAGTCAAATGTCTTTGCATAGTCAATGAAACACAGATAGACATTTCTCTGGTATTCCCTGCTTTCAGCCAAGAACCATCTAACATCAGCTACAATATCTCTAGTACCAAGACCCCTTCTGAAACCAGCCTGGACTTCTGGTAGTTCTCTGTTGATGTGCTGTTCCAGTCATTTTTTTATAATCTTCAGTAAAATTTTGCTTGCATGTGAAATCAGTGAGATTGTTCTGTAGTTTCCACATTCTGTTGGGTCACCTTTCTTTGGGAAGGTGTAGAGTACTCTACATATGTGTATAGTAAAATATGTGTGCATAGTGATGCATATCTTCTTACATGTGTGGTGTGTAAGATTTTACTTTTCTTTAATATATATATATAGAGAGAGAGAGTTAAAAATATTTTACATGGTTTATGTGAAAGTTTACAGATAAAATTAATTTCTATTCGGCAGTTTATATACAGACTGTTCCATGGATTTGGTTGCAGTTCCCACAGTGTGCCAGCACCTCTTCCCATTTCTATCTTACTCACCTTGTTTTCACTCACCCCATTTTATTGTCCTTCCTGCCTTCTTAACTTTGCTTTCAGGTAAATGCTATGCTTTCGGTCTCTGATAGCTGACTGTTCTGAGATAATGCACAGGTTTTAAGTTTTTTAAAAAAATATATAAAATACTTAGTACTGTGTTGAATAGCTTAAGTTTGGATATCTTTAGCTGAAATTTTTATAAGTTAGAAGAACATGTCCTTATGGTATGAACTTTAAAAGTGTTTGAGAGAGTCATAAGTTTTTTTTTATCCCAATAGGTGGGTCATAATGATGCTTTTACTATGGATAAACAGCTGTGAATTTTTAAAGTAAATGGCCTTTGGACCTTGTCTGAGTAACTGAAGTATGTATATTTTCATTATGCTTTGATAGTCAAACCACTGAAGACTCTTTGGCTGCTGAAATGATAACAAATCAATTAGTTAAGAAAAGACACAAATAACTAAGAATAATTTTTTTTCTCTGTAGATAAGCTGTTAGATTTTATTATCTGAATGATTTTTTTTTATTTAATTTAGTTCACTGCTGTACTAAAACCCTGGAATTACAGGTAAACTTTTATGTAAAAATTATATCTTGTTAAAACAAAAAAGATATATTGTTAGTCTCTAATTTATGATAGGTTTCCATTCTGACATAACCTGAATAATGCATCTTTTTTTTTTACATTTTTATTTCAAAACACAGTAGTGGCTTGAATAGTAAATCATAAGATTGAGTTTCTGATAGTGATAATATCAGCAAGTTACAAGTTGCAATATTGTGGGGAGTAAATCTTATTAAGGATAAATTATACAAAAGGAGGGAGGCAATAATATGTGCAGCTCACTGTAAGGCAAACACATCCTAAGTCAGGACTAACTGTATATTAAAACATGAACTAATTTAACTTCAGGAAAAATTGTAAAAAGGGTATTAATGTGTCTCCACAAGACTCACTAAGTGTAATCTTGTAATCTGGCCATTTGGCCTCTTGAGCTAACTGGACAATTTTAAAAGGAACTCTTAAAAAAGAAAACAACAAAATAGCAACCTTCAAAAGTGAGAAAAATTCTAGAAAATTAGGAAATTCTAGCATGGACAAAGATAAGATTTTATGCTAGACTCGAACTCTTCTGAAGTCAAAGTGTTCTGTGGAGAATGGGCTTTGGAAAGAGATGGATCAAGCTTTTAATGTCAGCTCCTTCTCTCAGCCTCTGAACGAGTTTGGGCAGAGCATCTCACACATCTGAAGCTTAGGTTCCTCACTTCAAGTAGCAGAAGAGTTGACCAATTGCCAGGTGACTTTTAAGACTGTCTAGACAATATGGATAAAACATTAACAGAATCTGACCAGGATGGTAAGAAAACTTGTACTTATGACTGGCTTTTAAAATTAATCTGATAATTTAATAGATCATACCTACATAACCACAACCCATCTGTCAGTATATTATACTGAGTTAGTTTATATGTTGCTGTGATGCTGGAGACAATGTTCCTGCTATTCCACTTATGGTGGAAATGTTTCAGCAGAGCTTCCAGACTCTATGACACACTAGAAAGAAAGACCCAGTGATCTACTTCTGAGAATCAGTCAGTAAAAACTTTTTGGAACACAATGGAATGTTATTGATAAGTAGTGAAAGATGGAAACCTATGTTGGAAAGCACTCAAAATACTCAGAAGTGAAACAATGGAACCAAGCCAGCTAACCCGCATGCAAATATGCAGTACCAGGCAATGTTTTGTTCCGTCAGATCTGACCCAGAGCAACGAGAAGCAACAACATTCCACATAAAACCACCCAGGGTCAGAACCCAAACTGATGTGCTTTCTTCTCTGGTGTACTGCTCACGTGTGACAAACGCTAATCTTACCCACACTTTCTAGATATATTTTTAGAGACTCAAAATAATTAAATAATATCCATCAGTACTGAGTATATATGTATTATTGGATTTCATGAAAAGATAATTACCTGTAGGCTGGACCCTTAGTGTTGTTTTAGCTGTTTGCTTGTTAGCAATAGAAGTCCAGGTTTTATCTGGATCCTGAATCCATTCCATTGCTTTGCAGAACAGCTGGCCTTTATCTGAAGCCTCGAGTCTCCGTATGAACAATTGGAATGTAGAGGCCCCAAGATTGTCAAGACTCACATCACCTGCTTGAAACCTCTCTGCATACGAGGGTCCAGAGGTCAACACAAAGTTTCTGGAGAGGGAAATAATAACTGTGTCTTGATTTCTTCCCTCCTGTGTCACATACCAAGTAATAGAGAGGTGAGTATGTTGAGCTGTGGCTTTGGATACCTCGCAGGAAAGTTTTAGTGGCTCACCCTCCTTCTTATTCAAAGTTTGGGATTTCACGGCAGCAGCGAGAGTATCTGGAATAACTAGAAACAAAGGAATTATGATAATCTGATCTGCACAGTGCTTATCAGAATAATCTCCTTATGCAAAGATGGTGCCCTGAGCCACTATCAATAAAGCACACACTTTCAGTTGGTTTTCCACTAACCATAAGCTTTCTCTGTACTAATTAATATCTATGCCTGAATGCACCCACCAAGTTGTGCCAAGAAATCTGAAGGGAAACTACCTGGCACACTAACTGGAAGAGATCTGTATTTGTTTCCATTCCAAAGGTGACCTAACAGAGTGTGGAAATTATTGAACAATAAATATCATTAATATCACTTGCAAGCAAGATTCTACTGAAAATTATTCACGAACAACTAGAACAGCACATTAACAGAGAACTGTCAATTGTGCAGGCTGGGCTTAAAAGAGGTAGTGGTAGTAGGGATATTATAGCTAATGTTAGACGGATATTGGCTAAAAGCAGAGAGTACCAAAGGAATGTCTAGCTGTGTTTCATTGACTATGCAAAGGCATTTGACTGTGTGGGTCACAATAAACTGTGGTTGACTCTGAGAAGAATGGGAATCCCAGAAAACTTGATTGTGCTTATGCAAAA